GTGCCCCGGCCATTGGACTTGAGGTCATGATCCAGTGCTACTGACTTTGGTGGAGCCATCCCATCGGGCAACTCCTAGCCTCTAAGCGCATAAAGGCTTGTCCTGGCCTGCCTTGGCCAGGACGCCGCACGGGTTTCTTCCGCTGTAGAACTACCCCCGTGACATCCAGGCGTACGCCTCCCATGCCTTTTAAAACACTGCTCCATATCTGTCCCTAGAGACTCTCCCTATACGAAGGTGCCTGGGTTTCCTAAACTGCATATTCAAGGTGGAACCAATCAATGGATGGTTTTAGGTCCCCCCGTGTTGATAAATTGCTTGGTAAGGTGTACCAGAAAAATGTTCAGTCAAAGAGATGAAAATGTCAATTTTTATTTGTAAATATTGCATTTCAAGATTAGCTGGACAAAATCATTTTTACTTGGAATTTTGGGCCTAGCATTTCATGTACCCTTAAATCCTTTGGAAATAAATTTCCTGTAAGCTTTCATTTTAGAATAAGTGCCATATTTACTCTGAACTTTAGCTGTCTAATTGTAGTTACTGATGTCCCAGGTTCCGTGCAATTGATGTGAACAATGGTGGAATTTCTGTGTTTGTCTTTAACAAAAATGGAGAAGCAATGCTTCAGTCCTTGAATATGACGGCTCATATGTACAGTGGTCATGTTTATAATTACTAGAGTTTTCTTAAATGTTGCTGAATTTGGCATGCAAAAGAACAGTGTATATAAACTGTCTCAAAATCAGATGGCCCAAAACTCAAAGGTATTCTAGTAGTTGGTGCTAGGAAAGCAGGTGAGTAGAAAGTAAAGCTATAATGAGTGGAAAGGGAACGCTTTTAACTGATTAGTTTTCATCACATGTTTGTCCTGGGGTAAAAGGATCAAACAATTCATGAAGTTAACTTCAGCTGCATGGTCCTGTTGGGTGCTTCCATGGCTGTGAGCAAGAGTGGGTCCTCAAAGAGTGAGTCATCTTCAGTCCTGTAATCTTGGTGAGCCATGGTATTGGTTGTTTGGCTTATTGCTATGTTATATCAGGATCACCATTTCTGTATAACAAATTCTAATAATTTTGTACTACATCCATAATCTTTTCTCTAAGGTTTGGACCCATTCAAAATTTAAAAAATGCTCAACCCAACCCGCCCCAAGTTGCACCTGTCTGCAAATTCTCATACATATCCACTCTTAAGGCTGGCTATGTAATAAAGTAGTTTCTTCCATGGCTAACCCTTTATTCTGCTGGATTTTTTTCTTCCTTCATTAGTCAACATCTCATTTGCTTTACGAGAGATTTGGTGATTCCTAGTTGCCCAGCACGACACAATATGCAAATATTCAGTTGTTCAGTCTGTAATCTTGGTCAAATAGCTTACAATTGCCAAACTTTCTATTTCCCGTATGTATCTTTGGGCAAGGCGGCAAGCAAACTACGATTCACACTGCAACTGAAGTCGCGGGATAAACACCATTCAATTGAGCCTGCAGCCAATGTTGTGAGAGCCCAGATTGGGCAGTTCACCCGTTGTTTAGAAATAGACATCCCAGTTCTTTCTTTGATTTGGAATTTCATTTTGTAAGAAAATGTTAATTGTTTTGGGCATTGGGTTGTAGGGAGCAGAATTGTATATCCTCTTTTCAGTTTCTCATTGTACAAGGGTTCTTTGTTGGCTTTTTGATTTAATGAAATACTTTACATTACACTATTACAGTTAAAAAAAAAAAACATTTTACCATCCATGAACGACCCATCCATAACGCATACATTGAATTCCATTTTTTTTTCTTTTTAAGCTCTTTGGCTCTGTTTTGTAGTGCAAATTTCAACTGGATATAGTTTTTGCATCCATCTCTTCTGTAACTAGAGTTTACACTCAGCCTATTTGAACTCCCATCATCCATACCATGCAAATGAAATTTATGCTGCAAACATACTGAGCCTTTGGCTTCAAATCCTTCAAATAATTCCTTTTACCTCAAGATTCATGTGGATGGCCGCCTATCCATCGATCAGGTGCTGGCACATTTCATCCAGGGAGACAAGGTTTAAAATCCATAGTGTAAATGGTAAGTACACCATAGTATGACCAGTTTGTGGGGAACAGGGAACTGTTAGAGCCTGTCAAAACAAATTCATGGAAGGAGGGTGTTGGAGGAACTTAGGCATGGGAGATGTGGTGAAGGATTAACTGAGAATGTTCACATTGACTGACTGACTGTTTAAGCTTGTTTTCTAGAAGCCTAGAACATCAAACATCAAAGTTTCTGTTTTCTTTTTTCCATTTATTATCGTTTTAGCTTTCAATTCTACAATAACAAAACCCAGTAAAAAATTGGATAAGTAACAAACAACAAAAACAAAAACTCACACTCATGTATCAGTTCTGAATCTGGTACAGTAAGGAACCTTGACTCTTGTCATCGTGGGGATAAAGAAAACACACAAGGCTAGACCTTCTTTTGAGGTCCTTATTGGCTCCTTTCCTTGTGGTCAATGATTTAATTGCCATGAACTAAGATAAGTTCCTCTCGCGCATTAGAGCTTCTATCTTCTCAACATCTTCTGGAGCATCCACACCATGAGCATCGTGGTCCACCTTGATCACCTGCAAGGATTTTTTTTTTTTTTTTGAGGAAAAGGTAATGTAACAGTCATAAATCTTCTAGTAACAGCCATAAAATCATGACTGAGAGTAAAAAGGACGTGGGAGTATCAGTATAGAATACCATCCTCTTATGCAATTATGGTTGCTAGGAACTAAAAAAAAGGCTTATATCTATTGTCAAGGACTTTGAGTGGGGAGAGGTCTGGACATGAAGCCAAGACAAGTATTTTTTTATAAGTAAATAAGAAATTTTATTAAAGAAACAAAAAGAGATTACATACAACTATACAAGGGTGGCAAGTTCATTCATCAAATAATAATAATAATAATAATAATAAGGGTGGCAAGTTGTCACCCGATTACACAGACCAACTTAAGACTGATGAACAAACTCCACATTACGTATTTGAAAACCCAGGACCTCCCCTAACCTATTTCCAAGGTCCACCTTTTCTAGCTGTCTAAAATCTGGTAGGATCAGCACCCAATCTGTCACAGAGCTGCCCACAGCCACAAAGCTTACAGGATGGACAAGATGGTTGTGGCCAAGACAAGTATCGATTTTATATATAGTAAAAATGTTCATATAGACCTTTCGAAAGATCTTGGTTTTCAATGACATCACTAGTTTACTAGAAAACGACAGCAGCAGTAAATGCATGTGAGTTATGGGATACAGAAAGATTAGATGCCAACTTTAATATTATATCTCATAGTTAACTTTATTGCCTCTTTAATCTTATATCAAAAATCATTCCTCTACATGAGAAGCCTGGGATAACCTGTGAATGACTCAAATTGTTCAGAAACATTAGGTGGCAATATAAAAAAAAAGTTCAGAAACATTCGGAAATGGCTTCGCTTTTAAGAGTGAAAATCCATCTTTTAAGATAATTACTTGCAAAATTTTGTAATTCTCATAAAATATTTGCAATATGTGGCTATGTGTCTTTGTGTGTGTTTCTGTGGGTTAATAGGTATAGGTCTGCCTTTTAATCAGGACCATCAGGTTCAGTAATAAAACTATAGATCATATTTTAATGGGAGGTTTGGCCTTCTTAGAAGGTCATCAGTTTAATTAAATGAAACCTGCTTACCAAAAAGAATTTAATGGAACCTATGGTATTTCCTAGGGTCCTATATACTCGAGAATGTCTTCATGGTCAAAGTTGATACTGGGGTTTCCTTGTCTAAGATTACAGATAAGCACCTCGTCAAGTATGAGCAAAAAAAGCTGTTCTGGATGTAAATTTTTAATGCATAAGTATGCAACTTAAAGCTAGGTATTATAATGAAAGCTTTGCCACATTAAATTAATTAAAAAAAATGTGAATAAAAAAAGTCAATCAAGAATTTCTGAAAATTCAAAAATACCTTCATCTTGTATCCATTTTCAAGAACTTTGAGCTGCTCTAAATCTTCTTCTAGTTGTAATGGTGTAGGTGGAAGTTCTGGATATATCTTTAAAAATTTAGAATCATAGCTCTGGTACACATGATAAGCAGCATTAGCAGCAGGCAAGCGGTGACTCCAGAATGTAATCAATGTAATGTACATAACTATGCAGAAACAGATTACTTTAAAAACAGGTTAAAACAAAAAGGCATTTGAAAAGAACATTTACTATGATACCTGGATACCAAGATGAAGTAAATAAGGAAATTTTGGATTTAATTTGCCAGACCTGTCAAATGTTCAGAGACATGGATAAATACACAGATGATACTGAGCTGTAAAGGACACTATGCATCATTGTAATTTGCAACCAATACCAAGCATACAAGGTAGACTCACTTGTTATAAGGAATCAATCCCCTTGAAAAATATATTGCATAACCATGATTATCCACCACACATTTCACTCGATTTGGATCAGATGCATCTTCAGGTTTCAAAGATGTAACAGCAGTACTAAAGACTGCATCAGGTGCTCCCTGTAAAAATCATTATATACCTCGATCGGTTTAAATTAAAATTAGAAAACAACAAAGTACACTCCTGACCTGAAGAGAAGATTCCTTTACCTAAACAAGAATTGGAAATATAATTTGCTTGATGTATGCACACTAGGTAACGAGTCATATAACTTTGGGCTTCTGAAAGGAAAGGGGAAAAAACAAATTTCATGCCCAGATGAGCTGGCACATCTTAGAGGAGTGGATCACCAAAGAAACAGAAGAAGTTGATAGAATGATTTCAGAAATGACAATATCCTGGGAGATTATGAAGTCTAAGAGAAGATCAAAAGATTTAGGACTTTATAGATGCCATGTGTCTCATATTTGAATGTAAGACAGAACAATATTATCTTCCCTTTTTGACTATAATTAATAAGCACTCCAACATCACAGAAACGTTGTTTTGTGGTACTGGTACTGTGCAAGCACTGTAAGGTTATACATCTTGCACAATCAAGTTATTAGTGTTGCACCCCACGACTACTGTACAGTAAGCTTTAAATCTTGCATACATGGGGTGCAAGTGCAACATTTACAGCCTACCATAGAAAGAAGCCAAACATTGTCTAATAAGATTAGGCATCACAAGTCCTCAAGAAACCATCATAATACCAGAAAAAATAACTACCTGTAGAGCTTTGACGACCCCATCTATTATCTCAGGTTCAATAAGAGGCTCATCCCCTTGAATATTGACAACAATATCATACTTCTTCTCAAGCTTTTGGAGTGCCTCATTACAGCGCTCTGTGCCTGCAAATGGAACTAACATTACAAACAATTCTAAAGAAATTTTACAAAGTGTACACACAAGACTCTACCATTTCGGCAAGATTCCGAAGTCATTATGACATCAGCTCCAAATCCCCGACAGCATTCTGCAATCCTTTCATCATCCGTTGCCACAACTAGTTTCAGAAAAAAAAAAGGTTAAACCAACAAACGCAAATACACACACAGACTGGGGGGGTGGACATGGATCTTCCTTTCTCAGCAAGCATACCTATGTGGTCCAACGTCGTTGCCAGCTTTGCTCTTTCCCATGTTCTCTGTAAAGAAGCAACTAAAGTAAATCATTGAAGATATGGGAAATTCAAAACTCTTTTTTTTTTTTTGTGATAGCATGCACAAAACTTAATATCATGAAAATGCTTAGAGAAGAAATGTACATTGAAAATCTATTCCAAAATGATGAAAAAAGTAAAGCATATTTAACCTGGCCAGACCATTTTTCTCCTATTCTCCCTCGTCTGAGTAAATCCAGTTTTAGTAGGTTAAGTTACGTAGCTTAAAGCAAATGGTCCATAAATCTCCTTTGAACTCATCTGGAATTAAACTTTGTGGTCATGTAATTTGAAAAGCTATGTGCAACTGATAACCGTGGCTAAGCATAACCTTTCCAAATGAGTGACACAGAACTGAAAAATATTTTCTGTAAATTCTGAAACACCCTGAAACATCCTGGTCTAGTTTTCAATGCTTCAGAATTCAGAAGTACCCAAATGGATACCCATTAATGAGATCAATGTATCTAACTTCCTAGGCAGCTAAATGTCAGTATCTAGACATTCCCTACCACTCACAACTGAATTTCTACATATCATGCAACAGATTGACCTCCTAGATTTTTTATTTTCTTTTACTTTCATTGCTTCCCATAAAAATCCAGTTACTCAAGTATGGTTTTGATTTACCTTTTACATTTTACAATTCAGCAATCCATGGATTCTATACAACCATTGTCATTTTCCTATGATTTTCATATTTCCCTAACTTGTACGTGAGCATACAAGATTAAAAAAAACTGAGACAGCTTTCTCTCATTAATGCACACTACGCAAAAAATTGAAGTTGCAGTAAAAGTCTCCACTTAAATTTCACCTCAGAATTATAAATACTTCCTTAGTAAAGTGAAAGAAAAGTCAACAATCATATTTTATGTACCAAACTGTAAGGAGATAAGGTTGTGTTTGGGGTCGTGTATTTATGAGAAAAAAATGGCCTGGTTGCAATTTTGAAATAGTTAACTCTCAGGCTTATTTGAGCCCGTTGATCGGGCAGAAAAGGGTTCAGAGAGTGAGGAGAGAGATTTTCCATTTTTTGATAATCACTGAGGGGAGAGATCTGAGCTGCAAGTTTTGTATCCTATTCTAGTTTTCTTAATGGCTGATCTCCCATTTCACGTATATAGGCTACCGAACCGAACCATGTTAAACCTTCTGTTGGATTTTAATCTCATAAGAGATTAAATCCAATGGGTTTGATTGGTCAATTACATAAGAAATTGCACCTACACACTTAATTGAAAAATCAGTTTTTCTCTTACAAAACCCATTTTTGAACTTGTCCCACATTGGAAAATTATAAGTTTTGTTTTTAGTATTTCAATAGGAGTTGATTTACACTCCTTAGAATTAGTAGAGGAGAGTATGGGGATTCGATACCGCGCAACGCGCGCGCATGCGGCGCTTTAGAGGCACACTTTGCTCACACTTCTGTGCCGATGACACATACTGAATGCCTTATCAGACTGGTTCTACAACTTTTACAAGGAATTTGCATCTCCAAAATAAATCTGGAAAGCCCTGGAATTCAAATACAAGGTGCAAGAAGCAGATACGAATAAGTATCTTATTGCAGAATACTTTGACTTCACCATGAACGACCATAAACCCATACTGGAGCAAGTTCATGAACTACAGGTGATAGTCAACAAAATTCGATCCCTTAACATCATCATTCCTGAATCTTTCCAAGTGGGAGCAATCATTGCCAAACTTCCACCCTCTTGGAAAGATTACAGGAAGAAGCTTCTGCACAAGGCTGAAGAACTTACCTTGGAGCAAATTCAGCAATACCTTCGTATTGAAGAAGAGTCTCGGTTTAGAGACAGTAGGGATAAAACCTTGGCCGGTATGTTGAACTCTAAGGTTAATTTTGTGGAAAACGGATCAAAGAACACTAACCCTGCATTACAAGTAAAGAAGAAGGATGGGAACTTCAAAAAGAGCAACAATAAGAAAGGATCCTGCTATGTTTGTAGAAAGAAGGGGCATTATGCCCGAGTCTGCCGACATCGCAAAGGCGGAACCAAGTCTGCAAACATGGTAGAAGACAATCTAGTGGCCATGATTATTGAAGTCAACATGACAGAATCATCCTCTGGATGGTGGTTTGATTCAGGCGCCACAGTCCATGTTTGCAAGGACAAGTCCTTGTTCAAGACATATAAAGAAGTGACTGATGGCCAGAAGGTACAGATGGGAAACCAAACATGTGCCAAAGTTGCTGG